AATAATAATAAACTCGAAAAAAAGGCGAGAGGTCTGGAATTAAAACATAAAAAGCAAACCCTTTAGAAATTACCGGTAGTAAAGTTCGGAGGAATACGGTTCATTTAACTGACCTTATTTTGGTAGTTTTCTTTAACAGTTTCTGGTCCAACAAAAAGTCTGATTCATCTTCCTCCTGTGCACTGAAACCATCGAAGTCCTCTTCAGTTTCGGAGTTAAACAAGCTGAGAAAAGCTGCGTCACACAGCGGTATCTGTTCAGTGTTGCTTTCTGTGTTGCTGTCCTCCCAGGATAATGCTGGCTCTGAAGCTGTGGTGGGAAAGCCCTCCCACTCCAGCATACGTCACTGCATGGGATTCCTTCCCCGGGGAGTGTAATGAGGAAAAAAAAAAGTCTGCGGCTCTTCACTCGACGTTTATCCACAAACTGGTCCTGGATTAAGCTCCAAAGTTTTTATCAGTCAGATTCCACCATGAAAAATGTCTGTTTTATCCCCTTTTATGAGTTTTTGCCATTGACTATCTTTAAATCGCTACTTCCTGGTACAACAGTTGGCTCTGGAAGGATCGCCTTTTTCTTTTTTTTTTTCCTTTCTTTTTTTTGAAGCGAGTGGTTGAAGCAAATGGAGCATAAGAGCCCCCTGGTGGCTGAAGAAAAAAATCCATGTATAAGCCGCACCGGACTATAAGCCACATGGTTCAAAGTTCAGGAAAAAGTTGCGGCTTATAGTCCGAAAAATACGGTATATTTTCAGAATTTGCTACGAGCCAATAAAAACTGGACTGTGGGCCGCAGTTGGCCCGTGGGCCGTAGTTTAGACTAAAAAACTGTTATTAATGCAGGAAATATCCTCCAAACTCCGCAGCTTAAACTAAAACTTCTGAGGACAGAGTTTAAACATGGTTAATTTGCAAATCATATTTAACACATTTGGTTTTGAGCTGAAGTGTTTTAGTAAATTTTCCACTAAATGTTTGTGTTTTGTTGCCCATTAGATCAGATACTCGATCTTGTCTAACTACTGTCTCACTTCTTACATCAGTTTGCTGTAAAAACAAAACTTTCTTTTTGCTCTTAACAATTTGTCCTCAGGGTGGTGCTGTAAAAAGGAATTTGTTGTCAGTCAGCAAACCTGGTAAAAAGAAGGTAAAAACCAGAAAAGAATTTCCTAAATGACTTCAATCCAACACTTTACCTTCACTTCTCACCGTCTTACCACCTCTTGTTTCTGTTTTTCTCTTGTCTGTCTGTGGTGAGAAACCCTTCCATGAAAACCCAATAAACTGACCCTGCAGACCCCACAGTTCCCCAGCCATGCTCTCAAAATCTCATGGTCTGATCAAAAAGTACATAAACCTTCTTGATTTAAATCCTGTATCTGAGTTTATTTCATTGATGCAGACATTTATAAAGTCATATTTGAAACTGTACCTACACATATAACAAAAACTCTTTGCTTTTGAGAGCATGAGCACTTTATTAGAACCAGTGTGATTGTTTTATTATTCAACCATAAAGAATAAAAATGTTTTGGGGAAATGTTCTGTTTGACTCATTTAGTTCAGAAAACTGGTTCATGTATCAGACCTAATGGGCCTCATGCAAGAACCGTTCGTACGCACAGGTTTGTTCTTAAGTTGTGCGTACGAGTGATTTAGGAGAATTCGTGGCATTCACCAATGTTTTCGTATTCTAACAATTTTTTCAGATATGAACAAAATTCACGAGTGGTCCAGACCTGTCGTATATTTTACGAGCAGTCAGTCTGCTGTTATCCAGACGGATTTTCCTCCCTAATAACTTTATATTTCGTTAGTTTGAAGATATTTAGAGTTGAAAATAAATCACACTCCATTATTATGTTGACAATAGGCTATTCTGCTTGAATTAGCGTTATAATTTTAAATGTAATAATTTAGACTAACAATATAAATTGTCCGGCCGGCCGGCTCCGAGTCGACCCGATCCGGGATCAGGTCGTGGGGGACAGCAGAGAGACCCCGCTCTCCCCAGTGACACCTTCCAGCTCGTCCTAGACGTTCCCAGACCAGAGGGGATACATAATCCCTCCAGTGAGTCCTGTATTTTCTCCAAAGTGCCAGACTTATTTTGAAATCATTTTAAAATGCTTATTTCAGAACCACAACTGAGACCACTTGAGACTGCGCTGCGCGGGGTGGGGGGGTGACGGTGCGCAGCTCTGTGTCTTCTGAATAAATGAAAATGATTTAACACAGTTGTTTATACTTTTAGCAGCTCTTTTTATTCCACAGCTGACCTGCTAAAAATGACAGATTTTCTTTTCTGGATCTCTGACAGACGGACTTCAATCTCTGAACTCGTAAAGTTCTTCTTTTTAATTTTCACTGTCATTTTTCATGAATGGACACTTCCTTGTATCTGAGGCAGGAAACATAGCCTTATATGGTGTTTTTGGGGTGGTAATTATGCTAATCTCCTCTCGCGTGCACGAGCAGCTGGATACGAACAGGTGAATTTATGCAGCTCATTTACYCACTTTTCCTGAAGATAGAAGAGTTTGTTGAATCTGACGTGACATGTTCGTACGAACCCTTTGTACGAACAAAAGTAAGAGAAATTTAGGATAAGAATACGAACATGTTCTTGCATGAGGCCCAATGTTCAGTCAGCAGCTGGTTAGCTTCTCATAAACACTAGAATTGAAGAGAAAGTAACTTTGCCAACCTAAAACTTTAGGTTACTTAATGTAACCGCAGTTCTTTGATAACAGAGGGAGGTGTTTCACTATGGGAAACGCTCCTGTGTGACCATCTACAGAAGCTCCAAAGCCATAAAGAACAACAGGCATGAAGGATAACAGGATGTCTCCAGAGAGGCTTACCGTACAGCAGCACTGAAGGAGCTGCTGGAAGTTCTGACAGGTTCTGTTTGTGTTCTCCTTTGTTCTCGACACATCAAAGTCTGATGCAGGAAGAGGCCTGAGGATATCCCAAGGAACAACATCTCCACAGTGAAACATGGTGGTGGCAGCATCATGATGTGGGATTGCCTTTGTTCAACTGGAAGGGGGGCTTTAGTCAAAGTCGATGGAATGAACCGTTCTGATGTCTGGTTTATTTTTAACCTTAAACATTCAGGTGTTTTTAGAAAACTGAAGAGGAATTTTATTTTTCATCATGGTGGTTGGCCCTAAATGTACGTCCAAATCAACATATACCATAGAACATAAAAATGTCAGTTTTTTTACATCGCAAAAACATCTAGAGAGTATAAAAGTTTTCTATCCGCTGCATGTTCAGCTCAGATTAAGTTTATTTCTTTTCTGTTTGTTTCCCTCCTGTTCCAGGTTTCCTGCTGAACATCTGCTGCTTTTAGCTTCAGAATGACCTTTCAGACATCAGATCTGTCATCTATTCACTGAAGTGTTTTCACTTGCTTTGAGGGGAAGGTTTTAGTTTTGGTGATGATAGATTTCTGTTCCACTGATGTGTCAAATCAGGAGTCAGCACCAGGGGACCTGCAGTCACCTCTGACCTCAGAGAGCATCAACGGTACGGAGGAGGACCGAGGCGCACCAGGAACACCTCAGCACTCTGAAGCCAGGGCTGAACCTTCCCAGAATGCGTTGCCCATGTCTCACAGGTGAGTCTGAGCCTTCATATTCAGAACTGATGACAGAAAAGTGTCAGAAATTAAATTGATAGTTTACCTTTTAATTTTATTCAACTTTAAGGAAAATAAGATAACAAAGACTATTTGCAGAGTTTTCAGGGTACAAAGAGCCTGAGCTGTTGGAGAGCTTTGCTTTGGTTCTGTGGGCAGGATGTAAAGAAGTGACAGGAGTTTTACTTTAGCTAGTGTTTTTATGCTCATTTGTCTGAATTACAGATGGAGTGTAGTTTTAGGTTAGAGGTCAGAGTGTCAGTCTGAGAGGACTTATATGTTTTTGTGGTGGAGTTTTTGTGCTATTTAACAGCCTGGCTGCTTGAGGGGAAAAAGTTGTTGGATTTGGACTTAAATGTTGATTTGTTTTTAGATTTTAGAAGGTACTGGAGTCGAACCGGGTTTGGACCTGGGTTCTTTGTGTGTGAAGTTCACATGTTCTTGTCGGTTTTCTCCTCGTTCTCTGGTTTCCTCCTGCAGACCAAAAACGTGAAGTTAGGCTGCCTTAGTTTTGCTTTGATGCACATGCATTAAGCCAGGCTAATGAACTTTACAACAGGAACAACCACCAGAATCTGCACTTTAATAATTGATCTTTAGAAAGTTTGATTAAATGACATTTAACCAGAGTTGTAAAGTAACTAAGTACAAATACTTAGTTACTGTATTTAAGTAGAATTTTTGTGTATCTGTACTTTACTTGAGTAATTATTTTACAGCCTACTTTTTACTTCTACTCCTTATGTTTAAAAAAGGCAAGACGTAGAAAGTCATTACTTTTATTAAATTTTTGCTTGTTTTCATTCTAGCTTGTTATTGTAAAAAATAAAAACTATCCATATAAACTGAGCCTCCTAGATAGAGTGAATTTAACTGTGGTTGAATGAGAAGTATAAATATATAAAACTCTGATAGTGTATCAGTTTGTACACAAACAAATCATGTCACACTCCAGCAGGACAGAATCATTCAAATAAAAGGACTGTACTTAAGAAG